CAGGTCTTAAGTCCCTTACCGAAGACCAGGATGACATTTTCCTTCCCGAGAACTGTGTTTCTCTTGCTCCTCTGCCTCCCCACCTTACACAAGGCGCAGCTGAGCCCAGACAGGCAATTGACCTAAAACTGCCCAGCAGAGCACACCCCAAGTTTCAGGCCTGGAGCCCAGGAGTCTTGACTACACACTCACGGGGGCCTGGGGCCTAATCTGACCCGTGAGGTCTCTGACACTTCCCCTCTGTGGGGAATGTGCCCCAGCCTGTACAGCAGCTGCCCCTGGGCCCTCCTTCAATATCCTAGGTAGAAAGGCTGAAGGTGGCCCAGGAGGAGGGTCTGGGCTTGGCCTGGCCACACAGGAGACTCCAGGGTTCACCTTTCCCCTCTGCTCCCACCACCTGCGATCCCTGCTGCCAGAAGCACCCCGCTCTATGGCCTCCCTCTCAGCAAGACCAGAGCTCATCACTTAGCAGCAGCTGTTTGGGTGGGCTCCACCAAGAAGCCAAGAACGCCCGGACTAGATCAGAGGCTCTTACAGTCCCACTGGGGAAAGATAGTGGAAGCCGACAAGGAAGCTTCAGGGCAAGCCAGTGGCTCTCAGTGTGTGTGTGGAGTGGGCGTGAGTGAGTGTTTCTTTCATAGTGCACTTGCCTGGCTGCCATCCAGGCCATACCCTCCTGGCATGGCCTGGGGAGGGGCTGGAAAGAGACACTCCCCAGGCCTGGCCCTGTCCCCCTGTGCCTGCCCAAACTGTGCGCTGGCATTGGTGCTGCCTCCATGCGGAGCCAGGAAGGATCAGACCCATGACTGGGCCAGGGATCCTGCCCAAGAAGAGGGAGAGGTGGGGGTTGGCTGATTCATAGGATTTAGTTCCATGGAGAGCTGGAGAAATGGCTTCCAGGAAGCCAGGAAGCCAGAAAGGCAGGAAGAGCAGATACCTGAGGTGGGAGAGAGAGGCCCCGGGCAGCCGGAGCCCAGGGCGGGAGTGTGGAACGTTGGCACGTCCCTGGAAGCTAAGCAGGAATGTGGTGGGAGGCGTGCATCCATAGGTGCTTCCAAGAGGCACAGCCAACTGCTGCTATCAGGCAGAATTCCCAGGGACAGCAGGTGGGCGGCCCATATTCACCTTAGAATCACCTGTCCACGGGAGACTGGGGAAGATCCCTCTCGGACTCCCTCTGTACCCCACAACCTCCCTCCTACCCAATCCTCTCATCTTCAGGCTTCTTGCCTTTGCTCAGACTCCAAGGGCATCCAGGGAGGCCGAGGGGTCCCTCCTCCAGCAAACATTCATTGAGGGAGGAGTAGCCCTGTTTCTTCAACAGTTCTGTGTGCCACGGGCAACACCCTGGAGGGATAGGAATTAGGAACTGCCCCGCAGGCCGGAGGGTCTGGTGGCCGGGTCTAAGGGAGAAAAAAAAAAAATGGAGACACTGCTGTTTATCTAGAAGCAGGTAAGCATTGTCAGTGAGGAATGTGCAGACTGCCCAGGGTTAGAGGATGGCCTTGCCTGCAGAAAAGGCCCCAGGGACTGCACATGATGCCTTCTTTAGTCTGGTATCCTGACTGATCCTTCTTCAGTCTGGCATCCTGTGCAATCCCTGGGGCCTTTTCTGCAGGAAGGGTCGCCCTTTCCTCTACAACCCTCCTCCTTGCCCCACTAAAAGATCCCCCAGTAAAAGTCAATCACGCCTTCCTGTAATCCCAGCACTTTGGGAGGCAGATCACCTGAGGGCAGGAGTTGGAGACCAGCCTGGCTAACCTGGTGTGGTCCACACTGCAGCTCCCCCGGCCTGGTCTCCTGACTACTCCTCCAGCAGCAAATCAACCTGAGCTGCTTTCTCGCCTGCTCCCTTACATGCGGGACTGATTCCTTTTCTAAGTCAGTGGATAGAGAGGGATGGAAAAGCCAGCAGATGCCTCCATAGCCAGCAGAGAAGGCAACAGGACCGTGTTTCTGAGGGCAGGACCCTCCTTCCTGGAACCCAGGAACTTCCATTCCAGCGTATCTTCTTCTCAAAGGTTGGATCTTGGTCCATTGTTGCAAAGAGAGCCCAAATCTAACCATCATGACGAATCTGAATGTACATGCTGCCCCTGCAGTGGTAACACTACTGCAGAAAATTTTCTTCTTTGGCCAGGCGCAGGCTTGTGCCCGTAATCTCAGCATTTTGGGAGGCCAAGGTGGGTGGATCACCTGAGGTCAAGAGTTCAAGATCAGCCTGGCCAACATGGCGAAACCCCGTCTCTACTAAAAATACAAAAAAATTTGGCCAGGTGTGCTGGTGCACACCTGTAATCCCAGCTATTCAGGAGGCTGAGGCAGGAGAATCACTTGAACCTGGGAGGTGGAGGTTGCAGTGAGTCGAGATTGCACCACTGCACTCCAGGCTGGGCAACAGAGCAAGACTCCATCTCGGGGCGGGGGTGGGGGGTGGAAATGCCTTCTTAGTTGGTTTGTTTTGGGTTTGAAGTGAACACGGCCAGGTGCTGTGGCTCACACCTGTAATCCCAGCACTTTGGGAGGCCAAGGCAGGCAGATCACGAAATCAGGAGTTCGGGACCAACCTGACCAACATGGTGAAATCCCATCTCTACTAAAAATATAAAAATTAGCTGGGCATGGTGGCATACACCTGTAAACCCAGGTACTCAGGAGGCTGAGGCAGGATAATTACTTGAACCTGGGAGGCGGAAGTTGCAGTGAGCTGAGATCACGCCACTGCACTCCAGCCTGGTGACAGAACGAGATTCCAATTTAAAAAAAAAAGTGAACACAAAGGCTTTATTTTTCTTTTGTTATTTTATTTTCTTTTTTGACACAGACCCAGGGAAACCTCCTGGCTTCCCTGGGTCTGTGGTGAAGACCAGCCTGGCACTGAGGAATCACCACTTCAGAAATGAGACTTTGGTGGCCGCGCTCCTAAGAGGATGGGGGTTTTCCTGGAGGAGCCCATGTGCAGCCAGGATGGGCATGGACTTTGCCGGGGCCTCCTGCTCAGCCAGGGCACCAGGCAGGTCTGAGGCTGCCTGTGCTCCATTCCACTCTCACCTCCTCATCTTCTCTCTTTGCCCCCCTCCACAGTCCCTCCTGTTCAGAGCCCTGAGGGAGGAGACTGGGGTGTCCCCTTCTCCTCTCCCCAGCCCCAGGTGTGCCCTGCCCACAGCCCAGGCAGAGGAGGGAAGGTCTGGCCTCAGCCCTAAGGCTGGAAGGGCCTGGAAGGCACTGGTCAGGCTCCTAGACCAGGGCTGGGAGGAGCAGGTCACCATGAATGACCAAAAGAGACTATGGTGACTCCTGAAAACGCCCAGGCGCCGCCTCAATGCCCCGGGCCACCCTGGCTCCCAGGCTTTGTGCTGAAGTTGGGATAAAGTGGACAGGCCCGCCATGCTCCTCCACAGGTGTGCACCCCCCGCAGGTGTGCCAAGGAGCACTTCGGACGGGAAAGTAACGAGTCCTGACTCCTAGGCCAGGGCCTGCCACCTCCCCGCAGCTCGATTTCACCCGCCACTGCCCTAAGTTGTCCTTGGCTGCTCTTGTACCCACATGGGGCTTCAGTTTCCACATCTGCCAAGCGAGGCGTGTGAGTCTGACCATCTGAGACCCAGGACAAAGGGAGCCCTAGGAACCCAGGGCTGTGACGAGCCCAGGTCTCGTTTCTAAACCCCACAGCACCAACACAAGCCAAATCCACACAGGGCTGTGCGCTGCCAGGATGGAGGGTCCAGCCTGCTCACCCCCCTCCTCCTCCCCCTTGCTCTGCCCTTTCCCCACCTCCCCCAACCCTACCCCACACAGATGCACACACACAGAAACACACATAGACACACAGAGGCACACAGACACACACACACACACAGACATGCACAGACACACACACACACACTCAGATACACACACAGACACACAGAGACAGATGCACACACAGACTCAAAGACACACAGACACACACCATCACATGTGACACACATGAAGATACACAGAGACACACAGACACACAGACACATACACATACACAGACACACAGACACACACATACATATACAGGCACACACACAGACACAGATGAGCACACACAGACACAGACAGATACACACACAGGTACACACAGACTCACGGACACACAGACACACACAGACAGACACACATAAACATACACAGACATAGTCATCCACAGACACACACAAAGACACATATGGACACAGACAGACACACATACACAGACATAGTCACACACAGACACACACAAAGACACACACAGACACAGACAGACACACAGTCACATGGACACATAGATACACAGACACACATACACACAGATACACATGCAGGCACACACACAAACACAGACACACGGACATACATAGACACACAGATACAGACACACACAGAGCCACACATACACACTTGCACAGACACAAACACAAACACACAAACACAGACATACAGATAAACACACACACACACAGACACAGATGCACACAGACACAGATAGACACAGAGACGCAGAGACACAAACATACACAGACACACGCAGAGACACACACAGATGCACACATACACAGATGCATACAAGCACACACAGACACAAACATACAGAGACTGATACATAGACACACACTACAGACACACAAACACGCACACACAGATGCACACACAGACATACACATATTTTATTTGCAGCCCAAGAGAAGCAGGCTGCATGCAGAGGGTGGTGGCGGGGCTGGGTCTGCCCATGTGCGGCGCAGGGCTCCTGTTTGTGCAGGACAGGTGCCCGGGTCCTCACCAGAAGCTCAGGCAGAACCTGGAGCCAGAGGCACAACCCCTACCTACCTGCCCTCCGCTCTGAGTCAGGGGAGGCAGGACTTGCCCCAGGGGCCTGTCCAGGCAGTTCCCCCACTGCAGGTGAGAGGGGTCGGCTGGAAGTGGGTGGGCTGGAAGGAGCCCTGGAAGCAGGTGGGAGCACTTGGAGGCCTCGCCCCATAAACTCCAAGCACATGTGGGATGTGGCAGTCCTTTATTTAGAACATTGCGGGGCTGAGGGACCCTCAGGGCAGCCCCGAGCTGGGGAGCCCCATTCCACTGCAGGGCAAAGAGGGACCAGGCCCAAGGAGGCCACCTTCTGCCCAAGGTCCAAAAGCAGAGAGGGGCTTGTAGGCGGCCCAAGGGCGCCGAATCCAGGCCCCAGAGCGCAAAGCCTTCCTCCCAGGAGGAGGCAGTTTCCCATCCACCGACCAGGCTTCCCTGGAAAAGTGCCAGCACAAAAGCAGCAGAAGCAGGCAGCCACAAAGGCTCAGAGGGCAGCGGGCCACCAGGCGGGGCAGAACGAAGCTGGGAGCCTCACTTCTGGGAGAGCATCCTCGCGAACTCCTCGTAGTTCACACGCCCATCCTGGTCCACGTCGGCCTCGCGGATCATGGCATCCAGCTCCTCCTGTGACAGCTGCTCCCCCAGCTTCTCCATGGCCTGCTTGAGCTCGTCCACGGTGATGTGGCCGTCGCCGTCCAGGTCGAAGACACGGAAGGCGGCCTGCAGTTCCTCCAGGCCGATCTTGGACTTCTTCACCGCCTCCAGGAACTCCGGGAAGCTGATTTCGCCGTCGCCGTCGCTGTCCAAGGTGGCGATGATCTCCTCTAGCTGGTCCTCCGACAAATTGTGGCCCAGGGCCTTCAGCGCCGTGCCCAGCTCCTGGGCGTTGATAGAGCCGTTTCCATCCGTGTCGACCTTAGAGAAGGCCTGCTTGTACTTGGCCACCTGCTCAGAAGTCAGCTCACTAGCCATGCCTGCGTCCCTGCACCTCGCGGAGTCTCCAAGCTGCTGCCCACCGGCCCTCACCTGCTGCTCTCAGAGGTCGTGGTCCAGAGTGCAGGCAGCTGCAGTGATCCGTGGCAGCGTCTGTCCCAGGCAGCACTGCTTGGCATCGGAACCCCCTGCTTTTCTGCAGTCAGAACAAAGGGAGGAGGAAGGCTCCCCACCCTCCAAATGCCTGGGGGTGAGAGCCTCCTCCCAGGGAGGGACAGATCAGCTGCCGACAGGAAATGCAGGAATGGGAGTGGGAGGGCTCTTAGGTGCCCAGGAACTGGCATGGGGTTGGGGAATGGGATGGCTAGCCTGCCAACCCCTCCTGGCCTTGACAGCAACCACCTCCCTCCAGGAACGTTCTGCCCAGGGGCCAGTTTCCCCTGCAGCCAATTTGCAGAGATTCTGAGCAAGCCAAGGGGTTCGAGACAGCTTCTCCAGCTTCACAAAGGCCCAGCGTGGAGGGGGAGAGGCTTGAAGAGATCTCCCTCAGGGCTGCAGCAGGCCCCAGCGTTTGGCATTTCCATACCCCTCTCTCCAGAGCTAATGCCTAGCTCTTCACCTGAGGCCGGGGCTGGTGGAAGGGAAGTGGGTGGTAGCATTGATTCTGCCAGGGCACAGCTGTAGGCATCGTCCAATTCCCAGTCGAGGGTCTAGAGACAGAGGATGGGGCTCGCTGCCTTTAACTTCAAGGAAGCAAGGGACCAGAGCTGAGATGTTGTTTATCAAGTGAACGTGATGTGTGATTTCAGAAGAGAGGGAAAACCTTTTTTTCCCAGAATGCTTCTTTTCCAGTCTCCCCAGCGTACTCACTTCGTGCTCAGGGATTCCCAGAATTCAGCTCCATTGCCAAGTCCAAGGTTCCCAGGGCGGCTCCCGGCCTCCGGGGGACTGAGCGGCAGCTGTTCCATTTACAGGGGGTCAAACGGCTGCAGGTGGAGTCTTACCGCAGCAAGACATGGGGGCCTCAGTGCCCAGCACACCCCAAACGTGCAGGCAGGGGCGGGAGGAGCAGAGCTGGCGGCTGCCCTGAACTTGGCCTTCCTTGCAGTTTTACTAAGTGTTGGCCCTAAGCACAGAAACCCCCTGGGAACCTACTGGGGCCCTCGTTCTGATCTGTTCTCTGGAAGGAAATCCCCGGGCCCATTGCCTTGAGCAGCTCTTAGAGCAACAGCTAAGCTTTTGGGAGACCACCCCCAAGCCCTTCCATCGATGTGACCTACAGTTGTGACGGGACATTTGCCTTGGAGTCCCCAAGACAACTTTCTCAAGAACATCCCCTCCGAGCTCCGTAGAGTCCCATTCTTCTCCCCACCCCCTGCCCGTACATAGGGAACAAACTCCTTCATTCTCCTGAGAAAGTTGACACATCCCACCTCCCTCCTGTTTAGCCCATCACATAGACCAAATACACTCTGCTCCCCTAAAGGGCAGCCAGCCAAACACCTCCCAGCCCCTCCGTGCTTCACACGCTCCCCAAGGGAAGCCAGAGGCTGGGGCGCCCAACCACTCACTCCATGACCCACAGCTCAGTCCCCCAGGGCCACGTGAGGGGCAAACCCAGAGCAGTGAGAGGAGGGAAGCTGCCCCAGCCAGCCCTGGTGTGGCAGCTGCTCCCTGAGCTGTGTGCGAGGGGCCAGAGGGGCGGTGGGAAAGGCTCGGAAGAGCTGAAACAGAGGGAGAGGCTGAGGTTTGCAGGGACCCAGTGAAAAAGGGAAGGTCGTGGTCAGTATGGAGGAGGGAAGTGAGGGGGTCACCTCACCAGAGTTTAGGGGGACCCAGCATAGAAAGAGCTGCAGAGAGGAGGGTCCCAGTTGTCTAACTCATTTTATAAGGATGTCTTGAAGATTTTCTAGCTCACCTCAGTGGTGGAATAATACAGAGGCCTCAATAAATATTGAGTAACCAATTTCTCAATGAGACTGACAACCGGTTTGGGGTGGAGAACGTCGGTCCAGCCAGGAGACCAGGCCAGAGGGGCATCTTGCCTGGTGAGGGCCTGGTGAGGGCCTGGGGAGGGTGGGACTCTGAATAGCTGGATTCAGCCCAGCTCCTTGTTTTATTTCCTTAAAGAATACCTGCGGACTTAAATCTGTATTTGCAATTTTCTTTCTTTCTCATCTTGTTGATGGGACCTGTGATTAAAATCAAACAATATTAGGAGACTTGAGCTTCCAGTTTCGTCAGTGATGTGGAAACGTGTGTCTCAACCTCCGCATCCGTAAACTAGGATGATGCACCCACCGTATCTGATCGGATCGCGTAGGGTTGGAGTATTAAGCACAGAGCCAGTGGCAGGTGTTTTTATCCTATGATAAACCTCATGGTCAATAACAAGCTGGTTCATGTTCCGGGCAAACCAACCCTTGGGAAAACATCTACTTGAAGGGTATCTCACAATTTTGTGATTCTACCTCTCTCTATCGAACTGCAAAAATCTATTCAATTCAGTTCAAGCCAAGGCTCAGAGCATTTGCGGACTTTTCAGTGTCAGCTCCAAACAAGGCAGTTCCAGTCCGGCAGAAGCATCTGTTTAGAAAAAGCCTCGGGCTGTCTCATCACGAGACAGGACGATGGTCACTATTCTCTCGCAGTGTCCTGTAGGGAAAGTCCCCTGACTTCTCGCTGGGTGCTTCCCAACCCGGGGTCATTTCCTCCCTAACGCATTCTCTTTTCAGAGCATGTGCCAGCACAGAGATCATTTGTTCCGTCCTCCCGACAGCCTCCCACGGCAGTATGCAAGCCGTCAGCTGCCTTGGCTTGGCCTCTGTGGGTGAAGGTTGCACTCCTCTCCTTTGGGGTCAGCGCTAGGGACACCAAGGACAGCCATGCACGAGTGACCCGCACCACAGAGGGCCTGGCACAGCCCAAATGTGGGCTCCCAAAAGGGGACAAATGGCATTTGACATCACACCTAGGCGAGCTTGGTCAAGCCCCTCTGCCTTGGCTGGTTTAGTACAGCAGCTGGGTGTGGAGCCTGGCTTTGAGGAGGGAGAAACGCCTTCTTTCTAGCTAACGTGCACTGCCAGGTGATGCCTCCTGCACGTATCCCTGTGTGATGCAGGGGCCAAGGGCATCGTCTGTCCTCCACCCCATGAGGAGCCCGAAGCTGGGGTGCTCAGCCACTGGCTTTATGTCCCACAGCTGAGCTCCCCCAACCCAGGGAGCCCAAGAGAAGCAAACCCAGCAGAGTGGTGAGGGGAAGGAAGATGCCCCAGCCAGACCTCACATGGCGGCTGCCCCCTGAGCTGTGTGCGAGGGGTCTAAGAGAGCTGCAGAAGGCTGGGAAGAATTGCAGCAGAGGGAGAGGCTGAGGTTTACAGAGAGGGAGACAGGGACCAGGTAAGAAAGAGAAAGTCATGATCAGCACAGAGAACGGAAGTGAGCGGGTCGCAGGGAGATGGTGCTTTATGGTTGAGTGCTGGAGGTGGGTTCTCCTGCCCTCTCCCTCGCCTCTCAGCTGAGCTCCTCACGGAGACACCAACTATCCCTGCCACCCTGGAGGAGAAAGGGGGTCTCTTTTGTTGAGGAGGATTGAAGACATCTGCACTTGCTGTGGCAAGGACAGAAACCTCTGTCAGGTGGCTGCGCCGGTCTCCAGAGGCAGGAAGGGGAGAGCTATCATCAGTCACGGGACTGCCTTGTACGGTAGCTGTGTGCACAGCTGCTTCTGTGCATGTATGCAGGTGCGTGGTGGGTAGGGGAGGTGCGTGTGTGTGTAGGTGTGGGTTTGTGTGTACGTGTGAGTACAAGTGGGCTTGGTGTGTGTGCGTGTGTTAGGAGGAGTTATGTAGTGTGTAGGGTGGTTGTCCTTTCTTCAGGAGAGGCCAACTCTAGTTTTCATACCAGACTGACCCCAAGAACAAAAACACACTCTGGCACCTCCATTATGGTTTAGCTCCTCAGTGCGGAGAAACCAGTCAAACAGGCCTCGGAGCCTGGCCCAGAGCGGGAACTCTTCTCACATTTCTGTGTTTGCAGAAACTGATCTCACCTGGGGCCTGTGCACAGGGACCTTCTCTAGGGACAGGGCAGCCCCAGGGAAATGAAAAGGGGCTACGTGGAGGGTGTGAGCTGTGGAAGAGAATGCCAGGGACTCAGCTACACAGAGCTCACCTCCCTTGCAATTATCCTCAGCAATGAACAATAGAAATGGCGAGTGATTGCACCGGCTTCAGGGACAGCGGGCTCCAGTCCCCCTCTGCTTGGTGCTCCTACACACCACATACCTCCCTACACACCACACCTCCCTACACACCACACAGCTCCCCTACACACCACACAGCTCCCTACACACCACAGCTCCCTACACACCACACAGCTCCCTACACACCACAGCTCCCTATACACCACAGCTCCCTACACACCACACAGCTCCCTACACACCACACAGCTCCCTACACACCACGCACCTCCCTACACACCACACACCTCCCCTACACACCACACAGCTCCCTACAGACCACAGCTCCCTACACACCCCACAGCTCCCTACACACCACAGCTCCCTATACACCACACAGCTCCCTACACACCACACAGCTCCCTACACACCACGCATCTCCCTACACACCACACACCTCCCCTACACACCACACAGCTCCCTACACACCACGCACCTCCCTACACACCACACACCTCCCCTACACACCACACAGCTCCCTACACACCACACACCTCCCCTACACACCACACAGCTCCCTACACACCACACAGCTCCCCTACACACCACACAGCTCCCTACACACCACACAGCTCCCCTACACACCACACAGCTCCCCTACACACCACACAGCTCCCCTACACACCACACACCTCCCCACACACCACACATCTTCCCAACAGTGTGTGGTCAGATCACTGGGGTCAGCTCCTGGCTTCTGCACTTCGCTAGCCGTGGGCCTGGATGAGCTGCTCCACCCCTCAATGCTGCGTGCTTCCTGGTGAAGAAGATAGTACCAGCACCTGCCTTATAGTAGCTTTGAGAGGGTCAAGGCCCTGCAATAAAGCCTCTGCCCAGCACCTGGCGAGAGCAAGCGCTCAGCAGGCAGGAGCTGCCCGACCCTCCTGCACCACCGTCCACACCTGCTCCCTGTTGGATGCTGCGCCAGGCTGCTTCCTGGCCAAAGCAGACGTACCCTCACTGCGTACTCAGGTG